TCTTGGTCTGAGTGCTTTGGCCTTACTCAATTCCTGGACTGCCCTTACCCAGTGCCACTTTGACCTAGCATCCTATAATTAGGGGACGTCTTCTCTACTCTAGTGCCTAGCCCTGGTTTCTGAAATCCCAGCCTGGACCCTCTGCTTTCCCAGGAGAAAAAGGTGAACATGTAAAACATCTTGAATGGTTTTTTTTTTTTGTATGTCTGTCAAAAGCACAATGCTCAGCTCAGTAAACATTTATTCTATGAAAGAAAGGAAGGAGTATTGGCTTTGTCCATGGGTGCTACACTTGGGAATATGGTCTGTAGCAGTAGGAAAAGGCCAGCAATGTTTCTGTAGCAATTCTGTTCTTAGTATATTCTTCAACCATTAACCCCAACCATTACCTCCTAACCCACCTGCTTCCATACAGAACACTTTTCCCCATAGAAGGATTGTTCTTGACATCATTATCACCAGAAACAAGGAATTTTCCAAGGGTGGGCAGATACATTTCAGAGAACACAGCTAGAAGCCAAATTCAGGAAGAACAAGGAAGGTCTGAAAAGTACGCAGCTTGCCTTATTTATCCCAGTGCTGTTCTTATTGCCAGATACTATGTTGACCCTATGATTTCCATTTCAGTAATCAAAAAGCCCCAGAATAATCGGAGCAATTATTCCAAACTCTTCTCTTAGATCATCATATCTAGTATAAAGGAAGGGGAAAAAAATTAATACCCTCATTATGTGACAGATATTGAGGTAAGTATCTGTTGAAAACATTTTATTATTTATTTATTTATTTAAAGATTTTACTTATTTGACACAGAGAGAGAGCCAGAGAGCACTAGCAGGGGGAATGGCAGAGGGAGAGGAAGAAGCAGGCTCTGCACTGAGCAGGGAGCCGGACACGGGGCTCGATCCCAGGCCCCTGGGGTCATGACCTGAGCCGAAGGCAGATGCTTAACCATCTGAGCCATCCAGGCGCTCCTGTAGAAAACATTTTAGAACATCTACCCAGCCCGTAAGGATCCCCTCAGCCACACCACTCACCACAGGTGAGCTTCTTCAGCCATGTTTACGCTATCCAACACTACTACTCCCTCCCACTGTCTCCAGCTGCCATACACTCATGCACAATGAACTCCTGTTATAAGGTAAGGAATCAGACTCATTGTGAGATTTCGTAATTGGGATTATGGGATTCCCATTCCCTCTGAGTTGGTGTCTTAGAAAAGGATGTGTAGAACTCAAAAGCTATGGGCAGTCACACTATGTCAGCTCTGTTGGCTTAGAAGAGAAAAGACAGATACACAAAGAGAAGCTACAATCACTCCTGATGATGACTTTTTATGTCTCGGTTCTAACCTCCTTATAAGGCTTAGCTAAAGTCTTGACTTTAAGAATAATGAATGGAGGGCACCTGGGTGGCTCAGTTGGTTAAGCGACTTAAGTGACTAAGCCTTCGGCTCAGGTCATGGTTCTGGAGTCCCAGGGTCGAGTCCCTCATCGGGCTCCCCGCTCAGCTGGGAGTCTGCTTCTCCCTCTCTCTCTCAAATAAATAAATAATATCTGAAAAAAAAGAATAATGAATGGAATATCATTACCTTATAATTAATTCTCTGGTCTCTCTCTCTCTCTCACTTTTTCTCTTAAACTAGCTCAGGTTGGTTTCTGTTACCTGGAATGAAAGGAATCCTAACTAATAAAGTGACACATGTGCTTTCCCTTATTTAATATGATTTTCACAACAGATCTCTGAGGTATTTTTTATTTTACAGATGAGAGAACTGGTATTAACTAAGTTGCATAGGCTTTCTTTATGCCTTGTACATTTTAGCGATGGCATTTGAACTCTAGTTTTGTGGCTCCTAAAACCTGGGCTTTTTCTGCCCCTATCCCTTTGGAGGTATTCTGACAGCTGGGAGAATCCTCCCCCATGGCCTCAGATGCTAAAGTTTTGTAAACTTTGAGGTAACAAAGATTCCAGGTATAACCATCACCCTTCAGCTATTGATTCCCTGGCAAAACGCCAGTTTCTGCCTACCCCTCCCCATTAGGAACACAGACTGTGCATTCTTCTAGGGCTGGAGGAGCTGTTCTTGGGCTCCACAGGGAGTAGGGACCCTCCCCTAAAAGAAATAAAATCAAATCCAAAAGATTGTACATGCTTTGGATATGTTTCTGACCTCTGTCAGTCAGCAGGGCCCTAGGGCATCCAGGCTTGTACTGCAAAAGGTCTCTCCTTGCATAACATTCACAACACTCCTTCCACTGGAAAATCTGACCAAGGTGGGTCAGTCTATTCTTTCCCAGGAACAGAGGGTCCTTTATCCTTCCACTGAAAGCAGGCTACACCAAAGGCTGTTTTTTATTTATTTGGTGATTAATTATTAGGAATCTGTCATTCAGATCCTTCCAGAGAGGAGAAGATGCTTTCTGTGTGAGGCCTGTGGCCTGTGTTTGTCCAGGGAAGTGCTCTGGAGCTCCTGTGTTGCCCAGGCCCTTTGGTACCATGATATTTGCTTAAGAACCTGTTCTATGTTAAAGACATGGACATATTTCCCCTGATCTTCCTAATGATGTGGGTCCTAGTTAAATGACCTATTTTGCACTCAGAAACAGAATTTATTGTCTTTCCATGGATCCTGAGCCCAAGTATTGGCGCCGAGTTCTTGGTGTTTGAATTGCCTGTCTTCTGAGGGAGATCCAGTGTAGCTCCACAGAGATGGGAATTGATTTTTATTTCTTGGATGATGATTCAGATGGCCATTGGTGATTGCAGGAACCACGGTAGCCGGCCCAGAGTTTACAAAAGCGAAATAATAATCACAATCTGGAGATCTCACTCCACTCTTATCCTCATCTTCAGTTCTTTCTCCCTCCTGACAAAATTTTGAAGCAAAGTGGTCACCAGTTCAAGAATCTAGATTAATTGTCCATGTGCCACTGATAGTTTCCTTAAGTACCATAGGGAAAAGTAAAGGAGACTAAGATTAGGTTAATCTCCCTTTAGCATCTGGCACAGAGTAATCTCTGAATGAATGTGAAAAGAATGAATTACAATAAGAGCTTATAAAACATTGAATGAAAAAAGAATCTATACATCATGATATTCGGTGAGAGAGAGAAAGGGAAGATTTTCTTTATAGAAGAATGGCAGCTAGGGGCGCCTGGGTGGCTCAGTCATTAAGCGTCTGCCTTCGGTGCAGGTCATGATCCCGGGATCCTGGGATCGAGCCCCGCATCGGGCTCCCTGCTCCGCGGGAAGCCTGCTTCTCCCTCTCCCACTCCCTCTGCTTGCGTTCCCTCTCTTGCTGTGTCTCTCTCTGTCAAATAAATAAATAAAATCTTTAAAGTTAGATCCTTTAAAAAAAAAAAAAGAAGAAGAATGGCAGCTAATAAAGTAGAAGGGATGATAAAAAAACAAAACAAAACACTATTTTGCAATATTAGTGTAGTGTTTGATCCAGGCAAGGATCATCAATAAATGCTAATACCTTTGGGTGAAGGATTGTTGGGAAAGGAGTTATTCAAACTATCAACTACCAGATCACTTAATTACCAAGGGGAAAGGATACCTTACCATAGAGAAATACAGCAAATAATATCTTAACCAAGCACCACTATTCCTCAAAGCACCACCAATAATGGGACAGTGATATTATATGCCTCTTGATATGGGGCAGTTTGAAGTATATAACATTAGTACCTATTAATCTTTTGTCAAAAATATTTAAACTGAATCTAATTATGAGGAAACGATCACACAAATTTAAGATGTTCCACATTCTACAAAATAAATGACATGGACTTTTCAAAAAAAGTTAATTTTGTGAAAAAGGAACAAGTTAGAGAGATGGTTCTAGATCAAAGAAGCCAAGAAGACATAACCAAATTCAATGTGTGAATGGATCTTGGATTTTGAAAAAATTTATAAAAAACATTTTGGGGTCAATTAAGGAAATTTAAATACAGAGTATACATTAGATGATATTAATTAGAATTAAATTTCTTATGTGTAGAAATGATTCTGAGGTTATGTAAGAGAATGTTCTTGTCTTAGGAGATATATCTTGAATGTAAAGATAAATTGTCATTATGTCTGCAATTTATTTTCAAATGGTTCAGTGGTAAAAATATATATATAGTACATAAAGTGTGTTTGTGTGTGTGTGTGTGTGTGGAGAGAGAGAGAGAGAAATTGGAACACAATGTTAACAACTGTCAAATCTAAGTGAAGAGTATATACTTACTCTACAATTCTTTCACCTTTTTTGTGGGTTTGAAATTTCCCAAATAAATAAATTGCAGGGGAAAAAGGATGAAGAATAAACTAACTTTCACCTTATGAATGAATCAGAGTCCAGGTAGTTCTTTTCCTGAAATAGAGAAATTGGGAAGTTGGGCAGAATAAATAGGCAATAGAATCATAGAATATCGTAAGTTGAAGTTCTTTAAAGTCTAATATTTAGACTGGTTCTGAAAAATGATCTAAAAGAAAAAGTTTTCTGGTTAAAAAAATGAGGGAAACAATGTATGTGCTCTGTCTTCCTTTTGCTGAATCACAACGAATACTGTTAGTATACCAAAGTTCTGAGTAAAGAAATGTGTTTGATTTTGTTTAATGTCACAGTTTTTAAACTTATTTGACCATGGAACCTCCTTTAAAAAATGTTACCCCTATTTTTAAAAAGATTTTATTTATTTATTTATTTATTTGAGAGAGAGAGAGAGCATGAGCAGGGAGAGTGGGAGAGGGAAAAGCAGACCCCCCACTGAGCAGGGAGCCCGATGTGGGGCTCGATCCCGGGACTCTGGGATCATGACCTGAGCTGAAGGCAGACACTTAACCGACTGAGCCACCCAAGCGCCCCCAAAAATGTTACCTCTATTAATTTCCTCAGAAACGATGTTCCTCAGAAGAGAACCTAGAGAAACCCTGATCTAGCTCAACAACATCCTCATTTTACAGGTGAAGAAATGGAAGCTCAGAGTAGTTGATGTCTCAAGGTCCCAGAGGAAGAACAGAGCCCAAAACTCAGGTATGGAGAAAGGTAATGCAAACACAAGGTTTATTGATATTCACAGAGAAGGAGAGACGTTTATTATAAAAATCATGTGGACTGAAATATTTAACACTATTTCAACCCAAGAAAACCCCATATTTTATCCCATTTATAGATGTTCTACATATAGGATCTGTTTTGCAAACATGACACCTTTGTTTATAACCATGGAGACATATGTTGTTTGCCCCTAATATTGTACCATACGTGAGAAAATGAAATGCCTTCTATCTGTGATGCTAATTTAAGTTTCATCCTGTTATAGGGACTAAACATTACATGGAATTGTGATAGAATTGCCCTGTCTTAAGTTACAGTATTTACTCTAACGGTTGTGATAGGCTAAGGGGGAAAAAAAAATCCCTGCATTTTATTGTTTTCCAAGCCAACCACGTTAAGAACATACATCTGCTTTAAAACCACACAAGTTCTTTTCTAGTGCCCAAGCAGATTTGCTGTGGGCTCTCGCGGTTCTCCATCCGGGCTGTGTCTCTGGTGGCTGCAGTTTGCATTCCGAGCATGAGCACAGCCCTGGTGCAGGATGGGCAGGCTCAGTCAACAGATGTCAGCTCCCCCTGTAAAGGCGCTGCTCTGCCTCACAACTGGCAAAGAGAACTGAAGGAGTTCCCTTGCCTTTATGGCTTTCATCTCTCTGGTTAGTAGGAGATGATGCTTAAAGGAGGCAATTCTTGAGCAATAAATCCACACTGCAAATAAAGCAAGGGGAGAGGGAGGAAAATTACAATGTAAGAAGTTTCCTTTGTTTACTATGTTTAATTGGGATTCCGCACATGAATGAAGAAGAGAAGAGTTTCTCTCCCAGGGTGCCTGGGAAGGGGAGAAAAGGTGGGTTTCCTCTGTCTGTGTGCTTTTTAATGTACAAATTAGTCAGAGCTTTTCCCAGCCCAAGAAGAGTTTGCAGTTTTGAGTACAGGGCCAGTGTCTCAGTGGGTGCTCAGTAAATATTAATTGAAGAGGATGATGGCTTTGAGGAGTGGGCTTCATTACACTCTCTCAGGTACAGCCCACTAGCGATACACATAAAGGTCACTCTGTCTCTTGCCCTGGGCCCTACCCCAGTAACCCCTTGGGTTAACGAGAGAGGTCTCCGTTCCCTCATTTGTCTTCCCTCTTATCTGCAGTTCTCTCCAGCCCACTCAGCCTTCTGCACTCAGAGGCTGCTGAGAACAAAACAGGGAAGAGTAGAAGCAACAGCTGTTGTCGCCTCACTTCTTGTGCAATCTTCCTCCACGCAACTCCACAGTATCTTACTTGAGCTGGCAGGAAGAGAAGGGGGCTGAAAGAATAGTCTGGAGAATTCGTTGGGGGCTGCAGCAGGAAACACGGTTGTGGTAGACTGTGTTTTCATTCCCAGCAACTCAACCTTTCTGACAGAGGATTACCCAACCTGCGGTGCCTCCTGGGGGCGAGGAGTCCACAATTTCTGCACCTGTGATGTTTGGCTTGGGCATATGAGTACTTCAGCCGACGGTATGTGGGTAACCTTCACTGTGTCTCATCTGAGCAGAAGTTCTAAGAGCCTACTGTGAGCTGAATGTGTTTCCACCCCAAACGTTCATGTTGAAACCCTAACCCTCACTGTGATGATATTTGAAGGTGGGGTCTTTAGGAGGCAATCACCTCATGAGGGTGGAGCCCTCACGAGAGGGATTAGTGCCCTTATAAGAGGAGACGTGAGAGAGATGAACTCTCTCAGCCATGTGAGGATACAATGAGAACACGGCTGTCTGTAGGCCAGGAAGCAGACCCTCACCAGACACTGAATCTGTTGGTACCTCGGTCTTGGACTTCCCAGCCTCTAGAACTGGGAAATCTGAAGCCACCTACTCTATGGTATTTTTGTCATAGCAGCCTGAACCAAGACAGGACTATTGTATGTTTCCAGCAGTTCTCTTGCTATTTTTCTCTTTGCCTGAAGAATGCCACATCCAAAAATGGCAAAGGCTCTTTCAGCCTGGATCTGGAATGAAGAAGACAGGAGGCTAATTTAATGCACATGTCTTTTTTATTACAGATCCCAGAAAAAAAAGCCTTTGTGGTTGTAACTGGGATTTGAGGGGTGTTTGTTATAGCAGCAGAGCTAATTTATGCTGTTCGAGTAAAGTAGGAAAATGAAGTTTGTGACTTCAGTATCCCACCAGTCCTGGTCTTTACCCATCAGGCTGCAATTTGTGATGAATAATGAAAGCTCTGGAGCCCTTGTACCTCCTGTTTTGACACTGCCTACAAGAGTCTCCTTGAACTGAATAAAGCATAGTATGTTGTATGATACTCCAGCTATCAACAGGTCAAGCAAGGGGCTTTATATGAGGGTAGGCTCTCCAAGAATAGAAAAACCTTAAGTTTCTCCCGAGGCTTTTATGAAAGTATCTTTCACTTGTCTGAGTAGCAATCCGGATTAACCTTAGTGCCTTCTCCAACACTGGAGGCACTCACAACCTTCGAAGAGGAGCAAAGGGCCTACGGCAGACTAGCATAACAACACAGGTAACTTTGACTCATTTGTGCTTTGCCTTACTATATAAGGTCTTGCCCCAAAGCATATGCCTATTATAAATTGTAACTAAATAGTGACTTCGACTAATGTCACGAACAGGGAAAAACTACCTAAAAAGTGAAATATTCATGAACTTGAGTTTAATTATAGCTTTGTGTTATTAGGGATAATTACTTGTTGGTGTAAGTAAGCACTATGCCTTTATGAAGATGGTTGCATGAAAATATTGAATCACAGTCTCCCTCAGAAACTCTTTGACTATAAAAGTCTCATGCTCTTGTGAAATTTAAGCAGATTACATCATACCACTAGATTTTGTTAGTTATCATAAAATAAGGAGTTCAAGCCAACAGATGATTATAATTGACAATAGGAATGTAACTGTGAACTTTAAAAATATGCTAATGCTTGTCCCTGTATAAATATAGTAGCCTAAGTTCTTTCTATGGCATATGTGTGTGTTTATAATCTATTTTTATAAGAGTGTAAAAAAAATCAGCTCCAAAAATATCACTCTCCCCTTTGACATTTATCAGTGATAATAATGTCAGGGAGCATTAGGATCCTGAAGAAGTACAGAGATGCTGCCTAACGCATAGGTTTGGGTATTATTTTATTAGAATGATATATATTCTGATTCCTGGTCTAATTTTAATGATATTTTAGATCAAATTCCTATATAGTAGATGGTGACTATGTTGAGGTCTGGCATCTGGTCCTATTTTTTGTAGTCTCCTGAACTTGCATAAAGCCAGGTAAATAAAAGGGCCTTAAAAATTATTTGCATGGACAGACGGACAGATGGACAGACGGATGGGTAGGTGGATGAAAGAATGAGTGAAAGAATAGACAGATGTGTCTCCTCCCCAAAAATAAAATGAGGAAAAAAATGTTACTGTTTCTGTGTTGATATTAATTTAATCTATTTCAGAAGGAAGGCCATATTTTCTTTTAATATAAATGAGATAAATACACATTAATATAAATTAAATTGTGATAATTATCATCATAGTAATCAATCAGAATACTTATCTCAAGGCATGTTTTGCTTTTTTTTTTTTTTTAAGATTTTATTTATTTATTTGACAGAGAGCACAAGCAGGGGGAGTGGCAGGTAGAGGGAGAAGGAGAAGCAGGCTCCCCGCTGAGCAGGGAGCCAGACAAAGGGCTTGATCCCGGGACTACGGGATCATAACCTGAGCTGAAGGCAGACGCTTAACCAACTGAGCCACCCAGGCACCCAAGTCATGTTTTGCTTTTAAGTGCTCCTCTTCTGTTACTCCTTAGGGTCTTGGTGATGGATAGTTTTCTTCATGCCCCCAAAGGTTTTTCTTGAGAACCCTTCCACAGTGGCCCACAACAAGATAGGGTTTCACGATCTAGGAAGGGCACATGGCTTAGAGTTCCTCAGTTACTCTAATGTAGTCACAGAGTGTGGACAGAAGTTTCTGTCCTATAATCCCTTTTATAGGAACAAGAAAATTTAGATTGGAATATGGTTTCTTGGTGAAACTTGATGAGGCCTGTAATTGTCTTAATGAGAGGTTGGTTCCCATACTCCTAGACCTGTTAGGTTTTAATTATCAACTACATGTTTCATCCATGAAAATAAGAAATTTCCAAAAGAAATTTTCACTTCCTTCCTTTAAAAACCCTATCTTGACTTTGCACTCCTCTCTAATTGTTGCCCTAGTTCTCTAGCAATTGATCCCAGTCACCACACCTTCCTTCTTGAATTTGACTCCTTTCTTAGCTTTTGTGACCTCACTCCCTTGTTCTTTACCTATTTCTGAAACCATTCCTTCCCAGAGTCTGCTGCTGGAGCCTGTCCATAATTCACCCTTACATGTTGTCTTTTCTCAGGATTTATCCTCCATCCTCTTGCTCAATGCCCTCTTCTTCAGTGCTCTCACCCACTCCTATGGTTTTAATTCTCACCTCTACATTGGTAACTTCCAACTCGTTATATCTAGTCTTGATCTCTGCTCAGTTCCAGACCTATGGATTCAATGACTGCCAGATATCTATGTCAGGATACACATTCACTTTAAGCTCCTACTGTGCATCCTGTATCTTGGTTGGTAGAGACTCTCTGTCTCCCATGCCTGGAATTTGAGAAAATGATTCTCCCAGAGCTTAACAAACAGTAAACTAAGACATTAAACATTCTAGTGCTTATATTATGGCAGTCATTATGCTAGATTGGAGTATACAGACATTTCCTACCATGAAGGAACTTGCATTGTAAGGGAGGAGGAGGACAAGCAAGCAAAAAATGGCAAACAAAGGCAAAGCAGGGGTGACATTTAAGAAGTAAAACACTGTGAGTGTAAGGAGGAGAGATAGAATGATACTGAGTGAGGACTTCCAGAAGCTGCAGCAGCAAGCTGGGCCTTAAAAAACAAGTAGAAATTTTTTCAGTAAAAATGTGATAGTAAGAAGGATAGTATTCTAAAAT